TGTGTACTCTTATCAGTTATGCGGTAGAGCAGTTGCAGTCATCACGGTGAGTTCTTGATTTTGGTTAATGCGACTGACAGTGGAATTGACCTCGTTACGCTCACTACCAGACTGGTCTTGTCGTCACCAATTCATGTGCGCTGAAAAGTGCGAAGCTCGTTAAATGGGAGCACCTCGTGGAGTTGTTTGTTTGTGTGCAATCAGGAAAGTGTCTGGTCAAGCACATGACTAAATTATACGTAGACTTAATGTCTTTTGAAATATTGTTTTGCCTTAGTTAAGAATTCGCAACTCCTTAAATGTGGACTAAGCTGATTATGTGGTTTTATTGATTTTAATCGACCCCTCTTGTGACCCCTTAAGATACACCGGGATTCCAGCCCAATGCCTGGGGCTGCCAGCCGTCCCACCTTTCGTATCCTTTGGATTCCTTGGACCAGCAGACAGAGAGCAGCCTCTACAGCTCCTGTTGCTATGATGATACAGCGAGATCATTTTCCGCTGCTGCAGCCGTAGCAGCGGTCGCGGCGGCATATATAAACTCCTCAAATGTTGCCTCCTCCTCCTCCTTCTCATCCAGCTACTTCCAACCGAGGACATCGGAGACTAAGCAATTTATCAATGAGTCGACCGAAAATCAGAGGATTTCTGGTAGTATGCAAGATCGAAATAAGTGAGAATAAACATGATGTTTTAATGCCTTGATGCTAAATTCATCGCAAAAACAAATGCAAAATTTCCACGTAAAACAATTTTTTTTGAATTTTTGCTATTTATAGTGGGCTTAGTTTGTATAAGCGTGCGAATTTCTTCTGCCTACATCCGCATGAAGTCCCATTTCAAGCAGTTGTCAGTTTGATCTCAAGCGCCTAGCGTCATATTTAACTACAAGGACGCCAAAACTGTCAAAATAATATTATTCGTTCAAATACACAAGTACACAAAGTCAGACTGCTATCTTTTGAACGGGAAAAATTTTCCGCTAAATGTGTATAAAATCCATTCCAAATTAAGTCCATCGTGTATATCTTTGACTCAAAATGGCTAATTATCACTAAATTTTTTTAAATCTTCTAGTCGTCTGCGTTTCTCTAACACCGATTTTACGAGGTCGCCTCTTCCAGTATCTTCATATTACATTGTAAGAGGAAAGTACACATTCGCATTTTACTTAAGCTGGTATCAATCATATAGCCATGAGAATATACGTAAAATTCATCTTGAGCTTGTGTCATGTATCAAGTGACCGGAAACTGACTACTGAAAGACACACTGAGGGTTAACCTTTTCCGTCACTGCTCATTAAAATTTGGTTATTTAGTTTACTCATAAATTTTATCAAAAATTTTTAAAACTACATGATGCATCGTTTATCACGGCACTTACTCTCAGCAAAAATGTCACAAAGTGCAATTATACTTTGTATGTGACCATGACGTCAAGGGCAATAAACATTTAGTTAATTATAATGACTACTTTAAAATTCAATTTTTGATTAAGCTTCGCATAAGAGTTTTGTGCTTTAACTAATACGCTATTCGTGGCTCAGAACATGCACCATGATTATGCCATACATTGACCAATCAGAAGTCGGTAATACGAAAGATATTCCTTCGGCGGGTGGTCTTAGATATGGCAAAGTACCCTTTGAAGCGATCACGCATATATGCATGCAGTAAAGCACGAGGTCTAATTCTACTTAGTACCTATCACGCATCCGGTCAGATTGTTTAACGTGAACCACAGTGGGAGAAATTTGTCAAGAGATTTATTAGCCACTTGACAATAGAATTGCACTTGCTTCTGTGGATCCACTGATTAAATCAACTACTTGGATAAGAAAACGTGTAGTAACTTTGATGGAAAACCGTCGAAAAAATTGCACTGCTAAGGACTATTTGAGTTGATTTTGATAATGCTGTAGCTAATTTGATTTGTCACAAATTTCATCTTAGTAAAACGTACCGACGGTTCGTGGAGGGAAGCAATGTCCTATTAACAATAAGACAGTAGTTGATATTGATTGCTTTAAAAATTATTTTTGTTTTTGAACATGAGGGTAGCAAGAAAGGTCGTCTTTGCACACACGCACACACATGGAGATAATGCAAATGTCAAAGTAAATGAGTTGCAAACTAAAATGAGAATATTACACCTCCATATTTCATTGATTTTTACCTTTAGTTGGCAGCGATCCAACTATTTGAAACTGGAAATTGGTACTGCATTGTAATACCAACTCAACATTTTCTGAAAGTGAACAAACACAGTTTTAGTGCAAAGTACTTTATGCCGTTTACATTTTTACTTCTAGCCAAGGTCCTAACCAGAGTAAAAATCCATATTGACTTAAATATTTTCCGTAAATTCCGAGCAAACGCTTAAACATCTGAATCCATGGGATGCAGGTAGCCTACTTCTACCTAAATTAAATATTTCATCTCATTTGACCTCAAATAAGGTTTGCTAAGACCACGATGATTTTTTATCAGTGAACTTAACATGTTTTTTTGCATTACCATTCGTGAAGTTATTGACATTTTCGTTTGACTGACACGATACATTTATGGCAAGGTATGATTAACCTACTCCTATAAGTTGAAAGCATCAAAGAAAATTGATGGCGTGATGGATTGTACAACTGAACCACAATAAATTTATCAAGGAGGTGACGTCATCAAGCCTAGGTATGACGGACCAAACTGGAAGATCGAGCCTTGAAAAGAATTAGCAAGCACCGTCTCTTGTTAATTTTAAGCAGAAATCTGATTATAGCGCCGTAGAGGCAAATCGCCTTTGGTGACTTCTTGAAATTCACTGCCGCGTACCAAATTTCGCGTGCTGCTCAAACAATGCATATTGAGTTGACACCTTTTGGACCGTGAGACATGTCCTAAGCTTACCCGAGGTCAACACTACATAATACTCGTGCTAATAAAAGCGACTTAAATAACTTCTTGCTTGACCGTAATAACAACCAAGGAAAAACTTGTCGCTAAGGTTGCGTTTTAAATTCGAAAAACACGTGTGTAAAGTTTGCAAAATTCGTCCTACTTACCCCCAAGCGATATCGAATCATTAACAAACAACGATTTCGGCAGTGCGCTCATTCAGCCACTCAGGCCTTTCTCTGATTGGCCCTCGTGAAGACGCATACACAAGGTTATAATAAACTCAATCACACCCATGCACACACATATGGCTTATGGAGTGGATTTCAAACATTTATTAGTCATGGAAAATGTCTACAAAGATGACCCACCATCGGAAGCCAGCGAGTAATCATTTTTATCTATAAATTCGTTTCTGAAATTTCTTTATTAATAAAATGGCTTGTATTTAGTGTCTATAAAACTGGATTCCGGCTTCCGGATGGTGTGACATTTGACTGCACAGGAAGGTCATCGAATTTCATTAGTGCACCCGTGGCAATGGGCGCGCCCGAAGCACATTCCACCTACGTTCATCCATTAACTGGATTATCCGACTCCACCGGTCCTCCTCGGCTTTTCGCATTCGCTGGTGAAAATCAGCCGCAAATCCCCTATACCGAGACATACCCCCTGCATGCGCAATCATCTGAGGTCCCTGTCTCACCTGACACAAGTTCAGGTGTTAATCCCTCGACGACAACTCCTACAACGACATCCCGGAAGAAGCCAGAGAAGCCGCCAACACATGTCAAAAAACCCCTTAACGCCTTTATGCTTTTCATGAAGGAAATGCGCTCCAAAGTTGTTGCTGAGTGCACCATGAAGGAATCTGCTGCAATAAACCAAATTCTGGGTCGAAAATGGCATGCCTTGCCGCGGGAGGAACAGGCCAAGTTCTACGAGATGGCAAGAAAAGAGAAGGAGCTTCACCAGCGTATGTATCCTGGGTGGTCTGCGCGCGACAACTACGCTTACCATGCAAAACGACGGAAAAATAGATGTCGTTATCGAAATTATACCCGCGCGGATGCCTTTGCCGATCAGCAAAAACAAATGAAAGAAGCTTCCCCAACATCTAGCAATCAAGACAGCCTTTTCAATGCAAAATCTGTCGATGAATCCGATACCGCGCTAGTCGACATAAACGAAATGCTGGGGAACCATCCATTTTGTAGGAGTTCCTTCACGGTTGGGCAGATGACTTACGCTGAGGGTTCATCTGGAGGTCCCTTATCCACCTCGTTGGACGGAGGCATGAGTTATTTCGGCTTAATTGAGCGGCATGGTCAGCGTCAACAGCAATCCCAGCAATCTCTACTACACATCAGACAAGTTGATTCTAAGTGTAGTAAGTTGTGGAGATTCTGAAGTGAATTCTCCCGTTTTACGTTCCTTCTCTGACCCTAAATAAAAAAAGCAACATGGTATTGGGGCTCAACGAAACTACTGGATGTGTTGTGCGCTAATGAGAATTTTTAAGCATCTAATATGGACTAAGAGGAAATACCAGCCGTTCGTAAAATCATTAATAATGCCATTTCAAGAAACATAGTACAACGGTTTGTCGCGTAGCATCTGAACAGAGTAGTATTTAGCGTATCAAACAAGTCGACGATTCCGTAATTCCTAAATATACCGAGTTAACGTTATTGTCAACCGACACCTTTTAGTATTCTATAAAACGTTACTCTTCGCCTTCACAATGACAAAAATGTACGATGCAAAATTCAGGTAGTCTTTAGCCCACCAATTAGTGAAATTATCCTGTTGGCGGAGTTTTTCATCTTATAATTTTCTAAAGCATCCACAGAGACTTAGCCGGCTCAGGTTTTTGGCCCACTGCTAAATTAAGGTCACGTGAAACTTTTGAGTCTTCTGTAAGGAGACGTCAAAGCTGTGTACACGCCCACTAACAAGTGGAGACATCGAAATCCTACGCTATTTGCGCATGACGAATGCTAAATTCACTGTACGGCTGTCAAAAAAAGTAGCAATTTTGAATGCTCATACTCTAATACACATTTAAGGAAACATTTCGGTGTAAAGCAGTGTTCGGGAAGCAAAATCATCCGTAGCTAGTGTTTCAGTCACAGAAAATCAATATGCAAGCGAGGATGAATTATCTAAGTAAACTTTTACGCCGATTCTGTAGTCCTTCAATTAGAAAATTTTAAAGCATCAAGCTTACATTGCTTCTAAGAATCTTCACGTACCTATTTTAACTGATTGTGCACTTTTCAGCATACATGAATTGGTGACGACAAGACCAGTCTGGTAGTGAGCGTAACGAGATCAATTCCACTGTCAGTCGCATTAACCAAAATCAAGAACTCACCGTGATGACTGCAACTGCTCTACCGCATAACTGATAAGAGTACACATTAGACCACTTAGAACACCACTACACACATTTCCTGTGATTGTATAGAAACACAGAGTGACTAGGCGAGAATGCGCAATCCAGTGTTTCCTTTCATCTCATCAGTAGCCACCTTAATTGGCCCTCCTACCACCATTGCCATTGGTTTGTTCGGTTCTTTCGGCAACCACCTTGGGTGCAATGTAGATTCGTGGATCGACCTGGTGAGTCCGGGCTCCGTTTCCATTCACACTGCGACGACAAATTCAGAAGCCATAGTTCCGATCCTAGGCAAAGTTGCCACGGTGATGTCAGTTCACTGACGAGTCTCATTTCCCCACGACGCTATTCGACGAAGTTAAGTGCAAGCATAGTTAGATTTCGGAGAGCAGTTTGGATGGCCTCTACATGTGTACATTGAACGTTCGCCAACTGCCTGTCAAAACACCGGTTGAGATACGTTATAATGCACACGTGTGTAGCTGTTTCTGGGTATGAAGCAGAGCTTGACTGCTTCGCCCATTTGTTGAAGTTGTTTCGATGGAGTGTCAGTTCATTTCGTGGAGACACGTGTACATTGAGCAGACCTACCACCGAGGTGTTGAGCAGTGTGGCTGAGTGGATTTGGTCACTGGTTACTTTGACTGGAGACCGGATGACAGCTTCGAAATTCAGATCTAAGTTTTCATATTTTGAATTTTTTTTTGTATCAGTCATGATTTGCATATGTGTATGTTGAATAATGTTATGTTACAACTTTGAATGTGTTAAGCTTGATGCATTATATTGGATGAAGTGGACACAGAGTAGTGCTTCCGATAATTGAGGCTTGCCTTGCACAGAATGTCACCTGCGCACGTGATTTAATTAAGGGATGTTCGGTTAATATTTTAGAACGCTGAGCCAAGTACATCCAAAATGACATTTATCTAGGCTAAGTGAACTGCATTTGCCAAGGCTTCAAATTATTCCACAACTCAACTTAAATATTAGATCTGCGTTATTTGGAAAATTATGCCTTTGTCTTCCTGAAGAAGAATGGTTTTCGAGGAATATGAGCACTCTCGCTCCGCTGTGTTCCAAATCTATTGGTAATTTGGAACATTGTTAAACGTTTTCATGAGAACCAACACCTGTGAGATATAGAAGGTGAAAAAATAATTCATTTTTTAGCCTACTTGTCAGTTTTGTTGCTGTCTATAATGAGAGAATATTTGAAGCCTTCGAATATCAGGTGAGGTCCCTTGGAATAGTCACTTGTGTGATTGTGTATATGTGATGAGTCAAAGATTAATTGCTATGGCATGTCAAATAGTATAGATAGGATAATATTCAGTTCTAAATTGATATTCTTGTGGTAAATCTTTCTCGTGGTCTTTTGTCCGACTTGCATTTTTAGCATTGTCACCAAATTAAGGAAATGGGTATTGAGCAACTACGAAATTTCAGCTGCACCTCTTAGTTTGTTATTGAAGAGTCAGTTTAAAGTACATAAATTTGGAAATTTTGTAGAACCTTTGGGACTAACCGATCGCCAATATTGACGGGTCAATTACCTACTAATGATAGCAACTGTATTTTCGACCAACGGAATATGATGTTTAATATTTAAATACTGAAGTCATCATGTCTTACCTGAACGTAATGGGACTGATAACGGAATATATGACTAACTGGAGCTATATGTTAATAGTGATTGAGAAACTTTTTTTAAGTTTTCAGTATGCAGTAATCAACGTAACCAGCCAGTGTACTTGCATTATGTCTGCTTTGATAAAATGCCGAAATATACGTGTAATTTCTGCCACACAGTGCTGAGATGGAGATCTACCACGGACATTCACGTAATCGAGATTAGAGTGGCTGGGCTCGAGGAGAGGTGTAACAGTTTGCAGAATCTAGTGCAAAATTAATGAAAGAATTTATAAATAGTATCAACTAAATGAATAATTTACGAGTCTCTGGATAGTTTTCGTCAATTTTAGGGAAGTGTAAGGGATTTACCTGCATTTTGAAGATTAATTGCAAACGAAGCCAATAAAAATCCGAGTTTCCCGAACAGATGCGTTGTGGCCATGCTAACAGTACAGGCACCTTAAAATTTACTAAAAAATAGGCATTGCTAGTTGGTTTTCCTCAAATCAACACATTTCAGCAACGTTCTTAAACCACAAGTCATAGGAAAATTCCTTGAGAATACTGAATTGATAAAACAGTTTTCCTTATGTATGTGATTAAATCCTTTAATGGCTGATAACTGTTTACTCCAGTATATCCTCTAATGAATCTAGAAGTATTCTGACTTTATAAAACATGGATAATATCTGGATAAATTGAATCCCTTGTTCCCCTCAATTGTTGACATAAGGCAGGGTTGCATTTTTATTAGACAAATAACGTTTTGTGGATAAAATAAGACATTGGCATCCTGGCTCTGGTCAACCGTCGCATGAATAGTGTGCAAGACATCGAGGCATATACAGTAATTTTCCGAAACGTATATTGAAACCTATAGCGTGGCGACTCAACTTCATCTATGCATATTTAAACTTAGTAAAGGCTGACAAAATGTAAATGGTAGTACCGGTTCAGTAAACCCACGTAGACACATCTTTTCACTAAAACAAGCTCACATTTAAAACAAAAGATCTTGAACCGGAATGTATAAATTACTAAATCACATAGCGGTCATTTCTCTCTCGAAGTCGCCCCACTTAGGTCATTTGTTGACTGAGTGACATAAGCAGCGCCAAACTATTTCTAATAAATTCTTTTAATCTCCTGCCACATCAACATACTATACTTATGTCCAGGAAGGCCTTTTATAATGGTGAATTTGGAGGAAGCTATAGATGTACTTAAATCACTGGTCTGGAGCCTCCAGATTCGCCGGCTCTGGTAACTACAATGCAGGGTTGTAGTTCCGTGGATGTACATTTAAAAGAGCGAACTAAATTTGTTCGTTTTTGAGAACTTTACAGGGGTTTGGATGCATGACAATCACTACCCTGGTCATTTGTAGTAAATTTTGGTGCTTACTCAGCACTAAAATTACAGTGTTCGAATTAAATCATTGCAATCTATTGCTAAACATTTGAATTTATGCCAAACAGGTGAACAGTAAAACCATTTTGTAGATTTCCAAATTCCTTACTCGGTAACAAATCTAAATTACGAAATTGCACACACTGTAACTAGCATGCAGTGGAAGTCTGATTGGGCCGTGAAAAAGGTGATTACCACACAGCCTTGACATGATAGGAAAATCGCACTTTTATGGAGTTTTAATGGCATGAATAATGTCGCTGTGTTAGACTATTCAAATTGACAGCATACGCCCACTTACAGGAAAAAACACGCTAGCTGTTTGTGATCACAAAACTTTAGATTCCAAATTGTCTGGCAGCCCGTGAGTCAATGACGTGTTTAATACTGGTGGTATTGGCGTCATGCATTGCAGGTACCTAGAAGCAAGTATTATATATTTTCTCCTAATCCTATGCTAACACGTGTTATGCGATTTTTGAGAACTGTTTAAAATTGATCTAAATATGACTTAACCTAGGTATCATGTTTTAGTGTTTGTCGTAAATGACCTCAAACTGATTGCTCCGTTTAAATTCAAAGAAAGGTTACTTGGTCGAAAATTGAATATCCTGTATTTTTGCTTCGAGAGCCCAAACAGATTGTAATGAGTTTCCCTTGAATAAATCGGCTTTCACATAACATTTGTACAAACAGTTATTTGACCTTGGCACGCATAATTGTTATGCTCAAAAGAACCACCTTGTTTTCATAGAAAGTAGTGCTACATGCGAGGCACGCTGCATGACGAAACGAATGATTATAAGTGCAACTAATGAGTTTACCCGAAATTGCATCGAATGCGTTCTACTTGTGAATGTGCGAACGTCGGTGCAAATTCAGGATTTTTCCGTATTTCTTCACTTAACGTCCTACTAAATCCCGTCAAATTTATTGTGATTTTATGAAATTTAGTGTAAACCACGAAAGTTACACGTGATTCGTTGATTAATATGTTACTAGTAGGTTACCAGCTACCCGATTTAATACAAAAAACTAAAATTAACCAGTGACACAGGGGTACAGGTGACACAAATACTTAAGTATTTTGTGAAAGCAATTAAGTAATTTTGTAAAATAATGTATTTTAAACGAAAACATCATAGTGGTACTACACAGATGCGTACCTTGAAAAAAATTCAAAATCAAGTAATTACTTTTTGTCGGCCACAGATTTTTAAAATTTCATGTCTCTAAAACAGGAAAATTTTTATTAGTTTAGACATTTTGTCAATACATGGACTGTAAAATCATAGATTTTTTTTAAAAATTCCTTTTAACCTTCAGATCAAAACAATTGCATTTTTTCTAAGCTTTGACTACTTCCAGAAAACTCAGACGAGGCTTTTCATCTCTGTTTAAAAACTGAGTGTCGGAATAACGTCAGTAATTTTTTCGTGTCTACTTGATATTTGGGACAAAAAATTTGTTATTTTTTGGATTTCTCCTTTTTGTTCACATGATTTTACCATTATTAATGGTTAAATCTCTTACACAAGGAGTGAATAATTAGGTCCAGAGATTTAAAGGCACCTTGCCGATCACTATATTATGCATTTTGAAATTTCCCAAGTTATAAAGTGAGTCAACCGCGATCTTTCCCAGAATTTTTTTCTTTAATTCTATGTTTATTACTAAAGACTAAATTCGATTAAATTTGTGTAGTAGCCAAGAAATCAGTTTAATTTCTATCTACGTTAGTGTTTTCTGATTTTACACATAGTTACTTAAACTCAACCAGTAGAAAAATTTTTGTTGAAACTACTCACAAAACTGCATCACCAATAATTCGTAAAACTTCTCAAAATGTCAGAAAAGTCCCACTTTTACCATTAAACTATTAAATTGCACTTTCGTTTGCATAGTTGCATTTGACCGGGCATTTTTGAACCATCATGAGCTCCAATCAAATGAGCAGAAACATTTAAGTTGGCGAGGACCGTCAATGGAATTTCAAATATCTTATCAGTAACATCCCGTGACTTCAATGGTGCCCTGGTTAAACATCATTTCAGTATTTCTATCACATAAGGAACGCAAAGTAGACCGGGATAGGCTGATTTAATAAAAGGTGATAGCAACTCTTACTGTACTAAATTTCACTAAAACACTGTTCATTTAGCTAATCCGCAGTGAGCATCTAAATTATCTTATGCATTTGCTGTTTGACATCTACTTTTAGGGTAATACAGGAACTTATTTTAGGAGTACATATTCTTTGTTGTTAGTTTTTTTCCGC